GCTAGAGAACGGCATTCCCGGCCCTGTGCTGTGCGTGCCGGGAAGGAGAGCTTTGTGAGAATGTAGGTGCTTTAACGCTGAATAGAAACTTGCATCGAAACAGTGTGTTTCTGGTTCAGATTGAAATGAAATAATACGTTCGGTTGGCTTTTGCTGCCTGCCGTGAGGTGCTTGACACCATAGGCTGCTTTGTCGAAGAACTTAATCTGAGTTTTTTAGGTTGGATGTATAGCCCGTTTCACTGCCACCGATGGTTACAAGCAGAAAATAATATATGGAGAGGATTCTCTAGCAAAGTCATGCTATCTGCAAAGTTACTACGGCTGTATTGTATTAAACGTTTGCAGAATATTTCATTCGGCATTGTTTAATAAAAAGCTATTTGTGTTCCTCGATTCTGCTTGTTAAGTCTTTGTTTTTGTTTCCCTTAACAGTGACTGTGTTCTTAAGCACTTTGACTCCAAAATTCTACTTTGCCCTTACAGTGACTTCGTCTTTTATATCTGGACTGATATTTGTAAGTAGTCCACTTTTATTTTTTTAAACAACTTTAGCACCTCTAGGATGCTTTCATTAGGGGTAAATGCAATCGGCTTTTTTTTAATCAGACTCTAGAGGGTGCCTTTGTACTAGGAAGGAACTTGTTATTTAGTAGCTTTTCTGATGTATTACGCGTATTCTTTTGCTATGTGTGTTGTACGTTGGGGTGAGTCTAAGGAAAATAACTTGTACCTGTTTTAGAAACTCAGGCTTGTTTTAAGGATGTACGTGTCCGCATGTGTGTATACCTATATGTGTGTGTATTCATAGATACATAAAAAATGCAAAATATACGTGCAAACTGCAGACCTCGCTGTGTAAAGAAAACACTGAGATTTTTATCTTTTTTAAACTAGGTAGTTAAGAGTTTAGCTTCCCACAGTAATTTTTGGGAGGCTTTTATGCGTCACCATGCAACTATCTTAACGACTTTAGTGTGAAAATGAGCCAATAATTCAGCTCATCTTCAGCTGACAGCGGGCACAGATGTGGCTGACTTTGCACGAAATGAATGGGGTACACTTGGGTCAGTTCTGCTGGCGCAGCTGTTTCTGCAGTGACCTTTGTCTGACCCTGATGCAAACTGTGGTGCTATATACAAATCTTTTATTTTCGGTATTAAAAGCTGAAGGAATTATCAATTAAACCTATTTAGCAGAATGTGCAAAACCTATTTCATAAGTGATCTTTTTGTAGGCCATAGTAAAAAAAAAAATAAGTGCCTTGTTTATGAGGCAGAAACAACTTGTTTGCTGTAAGTAATGTTGCTTGGGTTTTGATTGAAGGATTTGAGGAAAGTCATATAAGGCGATGGATTCTGCTTGTGGTAGGTCTTTTAGGGTAGGTTTGCTCTTAAGAGAAAAAAGTGGTAATTGGTCAGCCACTATTTATAGTAATGCTTCTTAACAAAGAATACAGTTTGTCTAAACATCGCTTCTTTCTGTGTGCTAATGAAAATACTAAGATAGCTGGTCCAGGGCTGACAGTATGGTATAGTGCTTCAGGACTGTGCACACTTAATAGCTTCAGAGAGAGAGTAATACTTTTGACCCCAAATTTCGGGTAAGTGAACTTGATTGCTGTTAATTCAACCTTTCCTCTTTGGACTTTTCTGACTGGCAGAATGTGTCTGTGTAACTGTCCATTGTGAGCTTTATTCTTTTAGATTATTTTTGTGAAATGAAAAAAAACCTACACCCATCTTGCAGTTCTTGCCTCTATGCATGGTTTCCCTATACAGGCTCTTTCTGAAAGGGTTTAGAAGTTATCCTAATGATTTTGGGGGAGGAACATATGTTTGACTAAAATTTTACTGGTTTTTTCAGTCTCGTTCATGTTATGTGGGTGATCCTGCATGACAAGACAGACCAAAACAGATAATTAGTGTTAATTTGTATGTGGATAAGTTCCATCCATGGTCATTTGCAAGGGCATGTCCTGGCTGTGAACAACTGGCTCTTCATCTCTGGTGTTTATGTTGGAAGGGTGTTGCCTAAGGAAATTTTTGGTGCTTTTTTTCTCCTGTGACAGGTGTTTGAGTGGTGGCATTTCCGAAAATACGGCACGTCTTTCATTGAGCAGGTTTCTGTGAGTCATTTGAGGCCCCTCATCGGTGGCGTAGAAAACAGCCCTCCAGCACCAGCAGCGTTCTCAGCTGGAGAGAATGAGACAAGCAGGCAGAATATGCCAGGTGATTGTTAATGTTTTTCAGCAGTTTTCCCTAAGCTTCGAGGCAGCTGGTTCACATGAACTGGCTTTTAAATGGCTTTGACTCTAGTGTTTGTAGTAACTGGAGAAAGGCCTACATCTTACAATGTGTTTCTTTAGTAATGGTAAAGATAAAGTAAGTAATAATGTATCTTTGATCTGAAACATTCATTATTAAAAACATCTTCCAGAAAATGTATTACACATTTAGCTAAAGCTGTTTCAGTAACATTAGGTACTATTCTGAATATGTGCAAGATAAACATCGCATGAGTGTAAATGGCGGTGTTTAATCTTTGCACCATGTGCTTTTGTACCCCGGCAATGTTTGGGAGCAAAAATATTTGTGGGATAGCAGAAGTTGAGGGAGAAGACGATGACTGTATGATCATGCTCAGGTTGTATAACAATAAAATTAAAGCAGCTTTTGAAAGTAAAACTGCATTTGCATTACTGCATTTTTAAAGGCAAGGTAGTATTTCCTGTGCTCTTAATTACAAAAGTACTTTTTCTTTTTTTTCTCCCCCCCCAGAGTGCAAAGTGTGGCGAAATCCTCTCAATCTTTTCAGAGGGGCAGAGTATAGCAGGTATTAATTATCTTGCTTTCCACTGCATATTTTTAAAATTAATTGGGGGCATACACATGACTTCTTCACAGAGCTTGCACTAGTAATATCAGGAGACAGCTGAGACCTGCGAGATTATAGGGGTGATTGATGCCAATCCTGTGTTTAAAAGGCACCTATCCAGGCTTTGGCAGTTTCAATGTTAAGAATGCAAATACTACTGTAACATCATCAGGTTTTTTGCGAGCAAAGTAGGAGAAAAACTTTATTTGGAGGTTGAGACAGTGATTCTGAATCTAAATTCTCTTTCATTAAACTGATATAGCTGTATTGTAAGTCACCTTGTGTTATTTAATAGGAAAAGGTGCTTCCTAGGAAGCCAGTTCCCAAGTTGTTTAGAACTTTAGGATCAAATAAGACTTTTTTTTTCCCTCTGCGGGAAGCCTTCTGGCAACCTGTACAGATTATGGAACAGTAGTACTTGAAAACTTCTGGTTAGTAGCTCCAGTCTTTTATTAATAAAAATTTTCTGCGCTAGCTTCAGTTGTTAGGCTCATCAGATATCCGCCTTGGTATCAGCATTGCTATTTACTACGAGCGCCTCTTACTGAAATTTCTCCCATTAAAGATATATGTGGGTGACTGGGAAGGAGCCTCTTACATACTATGACATGAATTTGTCTGCTCAAGATCATCAGAACTTTTTCACGTGTGATACAGATGCTCTTCGGCCTTCAGACACAGGTACCAATGCCGTACGCATATAACTTCGCACTCTTCAACACTGGGTATTTTTAATATACTTCAAGGTAGCGCAAGCTATTGTGTCAAATATTTTGTGAAGTGATAGCCTTTCTCAACTGCTAGGGAGGTTTAATAGATGTATTTAGTGAAAAGGTGGGTTTTTTTAACCTTGTGCTTTCTTTACTGACTTTAATGCTGTCAGGATCCTGACATATTTTAAGATCTCACGCTTTCCAAATAATTAATAACACAATATTAAAAACCTGGATTGTATTCTGAACAGCCAAAGATGTGGTCTGATTTAAACCTCAGTAATGAATAGTGCAGTCTCCAGAATTTTTTCTGTGGCGTTCCACATGTTTAGTGCAGAAAATGTTCTCTACCTGGTTATTGTCAGACTGGGTGCGAACTATTGTCAATTTGTCAAGTTCCGGAAGTGTTACTTGTCAGCTGGCTGTGACATGCTTGATATGAACGATGTGTTTTTGTTTCACAAATGGAGTGTATTGTCTCGCTTACTAAGCCAAGACTAATATTTTGTTTCCAAAAGAAAACTCAAACATTTTTCCACGTTATTCTTGCTGGACAGCAGAAGGTTTTGTTCCAAAAGAAACATGTATAGATTCTTCAGTTTTCTTATCGTACTTGAGATAGGCCAGATATGTAACTCCATGAACGTAAGGTTTTGGAGTTCTTTCAGAGCTGTTACGTAGTGTGAAAGCTATTAGTTCTGCACAGAAAATGGTAGCTCCAAGTGTGGTGTTTTTCTTTTGCTAGAAGCTGGTTTTCAGTTTGGGATTTCCACTTTTCCCTAGGGGAAGCATAGCGGGGAAGGGTTTAGAGTCATTGCATTGAACTTTTGTTTGCTCCTCATCTGACCGTAATTTTTAATTCAACTTGTAATTCAAATGACCCTTTTGAATAGATAGATTTCACCCTTTTTGATTGTTTCCTAGAACACTTTCTAATAAGGTGATAAATTATTGTAGTATATCTTGAATTGGCTTTGCCATGTGAATGCCATTCAAGTGTGCTTTGTAAATTGAAAAAGAAATTGTTTAACCCTTTCGGATCTGGTAGTTGTCTAAATACTTAGGTATGAATCTATACCTGCGCAAGACACAGCTTACTCTATCGCTGTTTTCTTTGAAGTTGTGTTTGAAAGCTTAAATTAAAATTCTGTGCAGGTCTGTGCAAGAGCCTTTGTTTAACAATTGCTCCTGCCAAGCTTTCAACAAGTCTTGGGAAATGTTTCCAAAAATCTGTAGCAATTTAGAAATTGTACATCTGCCTCGTTATGTAAGCTGTCTTTGCTTCTCAGTGTAGGAGTTCTTAAATGGTCAGTGAATAATTTTCCTGGTTGCGTTGCTTTCTTAAATTAAATTTGGGGCGTAATGAGAAGTTGCAAGATTCTGCTGCTTGTGGTAGAAACTCATGCTGGAATGAAAACACTTGTTTACTCTTCCCTCTGACAATTATATAGCAAACAGGAATTTGCCAAATGGAAGTGAATGTTAATGTAGAGCTGAGGCATAAGCAGCCAGCGTTGGCTCCCAGGTGTTTCGCCAGTGTCTCTGTCCCTCACCAGCCTTTCCATGTTTTTGCAACAGTTATGCAGAAAGCATGGCGAGAGAGAAACCCGCAAGCCCGGATTAAAGCAGCGTATCAAGCTTTAGAGTTGAACAATGAGTAAGTTTAGAGTATGAGTTCAATTGCTGTATTTCTAGTGTGGAAGATTAAGTGGAGTGATATTGAGCACACTATCAGTTTCTCGTTGTACTAATTTACTTCTAGCAAAGTTCTGAATAGCTTAAGGGGGACTTCAGTGACTATGAGAATTGCGCATGGGGCTGTCAGTTGCACTGAAGTATTGAACTGTTCTATGCAAAAATAGCTTTTGTTCTCCCTTTTTCTTGGGAAAGATTTTTTTTTTTTTTTAAATCTTAGTATCAATAACAAATGAGAAATCTTAATCGGATGTGGAACAGTCTAAACTGAATATGAGATCGTATGTGTTTCAGAGATGGCGTTATGGTAATATGCTGCTAATGATGCCACTCCTGTAAGGGATTTAAAAATACCCTTATAACACAAAGAATTTCACATGCGCTTCTGTGATCCGTTTTGTTATGTAGTCTTGTCGTTTTTGTGTAAAATGTCTGCTTCCTGGTTTTAAAAAAGCAAACCAAACTAACCACAGAAAACCATCTCCAGACAATTATTAGAGCATTTTTTAATAATTCAGGGAAAATAATTTGACTTGCTGTTACAAGTCTTTCTTTTGTTCTTCCTCCAAATGCGTGTGTGTTCTGTAAAATGGAAAAGGTTTCTGTTTTCCTGACACTCATCATTTGAACTCAAGTCAATATTGTGGTATTGTAGTATTGTCAATGCTTAGATACCAAACATACGTGAAAACTGCCCATTTCTAATCCTTTTAGCACTTATTCAAAAAATATTAAACTTTGTCCCTCAGAATAATTAGTGGTTTTTTTCCTTATTACAGTTGTGCCACTGCGTATGTTCTCTTGGCTGAGGAAGAAGCAACAACTATTGTAGATGCTGAGAAGTATTTCAAGCAGGCTCTGAAAGCAGGAGAAATGATTTACAGAAAGTCTCAGAACTGCCATTCCCAAAGTCCCCAGCACGAAGCACAGCTGAGTAAGCACTTTTGAACCATATACTCTTGTTTTTGTGTGAGCAGAAATGTAAAACTGAAGTTATAATTAGCGATTCTAGTTTGATTCCCAGTTCAGTGAGGCGGTTCCTGCTATTTTAACTATGCTTATGCATGGCGTGCTGTGTGATCTTCTGCAGTACCAAAATGAAACTTAGGAAGTGGCAGTTACGCTGTGTATGCATCATGGGTTGTCTCACTGAGGCTCCGTACTTTATTGTTTTGGAAAGTTGGATAGGTAGAGCAGACTAATGAAGCAATTAGTATGTGTCAGTAGCACCTTCTTTTACTCCACCTAATGTTTTGGAAAAACACAGAATTTTTTTGGTCATTTAACCTAGTTAAAAGTTACTGGCATTGGTCTAGATGGGCCTTGGTTGGGACAGCAGTAGTAATTATTTTATGCTTTTACATGTGGTTAGGAAAAAGGTTGTGGGGTTTTGCTGCGGGGTTTGGGGGTGTTTTTGAGAGAGGGAAGAAAAGGTAAGGATTGAAACTGATAGACTAATTTTTTTGTCTTTGTAATCAGGAAGAGACACCAATGTGTTGGTATATGTGAAAAGGAGACTAGCTATGTGTGCAAGAAAACTTGGAAGAATACGAGAAGCAGTAAAAATGATGAGAGATGTAAGTAAAAATTTAAAAAAAAAAAAAGCGAGTAACTTGTTTTCAGTCACATTGCCCAAACTGATGGTTTAAAGCTCCTTTCAAGGCATCATAATGAATCTAATTGAATTATTTTCCAATGAGATTTTCACATCATGATTCATGATTTTTTTTGAGAACAGTTTTTTTTGTTCCTACACGTAGGTTTTAAATTTTTATATTATATAATGTCATATGTTCACAGTTCTGTTGTCCAGTTTGCTTCATGCTTGACTCAGCGACTAACTTGTCAAAATAGCCAACTTCAGACTTCATCATAATTTTTCTTTAAAAAAAGAACTCACTGTGGGAGTTGTGCAAATTTGGGCTGAGAGCGTGTTTTATGAACCTCAGTATACTTATTTTGCAGTAGGTGAATATAGGAAAAAAGTAAGGTAGAAATGGTGAGATTCTTTTCATGCTGCTTACGTGCCAGTTTCTAACACTGAAAGAACAGAACATTTAAAAGCTTAAATTATTGCACTGATTTCTATTAAGTGTTTTGGGGATTCAAGTGCAATTCTGTATGTGCTTAATTTATTTCTCTTTACTGATTTGCAGTTGATGAAAGAGTTTCCACTTCTCAGCATGCTCAATATTCATGAAAACCTCCTGGAGGCACTACTGGAGTTACAGGCTTATGCAGACGTCCAGGCAGTTTTAGCGAAGTACGATGGTAAGTGATACCTATTGGGAAATATCGGTGGTTGTGTATTAGAGTGTAGGTGAGGCGGGTAAGGTGTGCCTGCTCAAAACCAGGTGTCTACCCATGGTCTCAGCTAGTTCACTGGATTCCCTTCATCAGCAACAAATAGGCGCTTCCAGAGTGCAAGTCAAGCTTTTTCTTTTGACTGATGAGGTCAAATTTAGGCAAGCTAAACTGCATACAAGTTACTACTTACGTTTTTAAGTTACTTCTAATCTGTAAAGAAATCTTGGAGCTCACTTCTCTTCAATTCAAGGATTATTTTAATTTTTTAATCTCTTCTGCGTCCGTAGTTATGCCTAAATTCATCAGCCTCTTTCAGTCAGCACATAGCCTCCTAAGTAATTGATGTAAATAAGCTGGAAAAGGTAGTTTTCCCTTCTGTCATCTTCCAGGCTTGCCCCGTGATTCTGTAGTACTGAAGTTGCTCACCAGAGATTAGCAACGTGCAAGCGTACTGCTTGCCAGAGATTAGTGGTATGCAGGCTTTGGGCCATTAAATGGTGGTAGTTTGCTTTCACTTTCCATCTCAACTAATACGTTTCAGGTGTTGCGCAAGTCTAGATAAAGGTTATTAAAATATATACTCACTTTCTTATTGTCCTCAGAGTTTTGCCACCTAGATAATGCCCACATCATTAGTGTACAAAGTGCTGCTGTCAAAGCTGTCCCTTAAACCATCTTCAGAGTGGAGGGACATAGAAGCAGTATTTTGTGGCAATCGTTCCCTGCCCTTGAGAAGTCGGTATGTTCTTGTGTCTCTGTTCTTCATTGCTTCAGGGAATTGAAAGTATGATATCCTTGCCCAAATCCTGTGCCCCTTGTGTGTGGCCACCCTAGCAGCCTGCTCCTGTTACTTGACTGTCCATGTTCTTCTGTGTGGATTCTTATTCATTTAACAAAACCATTTGCTCTTTTCCTGGTGCTTCTTTATGTTAACATCAGGAATTGCAACCCTTTCTTAAGAAAGCGTTGCTGATTTTTTTTTTTTTTTCCTAAGCATCTGGAAAAATGAGTATGAGCTTCAAACTCTCTGTAGCGCCCCTATGTTTTGCTTGACACGACAGCCAGACTTCTAGTAAGTGATGGACAAGCCCAGGATGGGATTTACAAAAAAAGCAAGAGCCATCTGACTATACACAACATGGTACTTGGGAATTAGACCCCAGACTTTGTCTGCTTTTAAAGTAAACTTGTACTGTGGAGTGCTAACCTTCTAATCTATAATTGTCAGCTGAAACTTGGCCTCAGATATTCTACAAAACCTACAACTAATAGAATTTTTCCCCATGGAACTGGAAAAGAATGGAAATTGCATTTTCATTAAAATTTGTCTACCTGTCTGTAATGTAATATTTTTTGGTCAGCTTCTAGTCAGTCTCTCTTATGTAAAATTCTCTGTTAACGTACAGTTGCAAAATTAGGTAAGGATTAGAAGCTTATTTTAAAGCTTTGTGGGTTAATAAAGGAAAAGTACACTGTTCTTAAGTGTGTATTTATACATGCATTTCTCTTTGAATTCAGTTGCAGTGTCTTGGTATGTTCAGAAGAAAAAAAAATTACTCTGTACCACCTAACTACAACTCTTGAGTTTTTAACCTGAGACCAACGGGTGACCAGAAAGAAGACTGCAAGGAAATTCAGAGTTTCTAATCATAGCTGAAATGTTCCAGATGTTACATTAATTGTCTGCCCAAGTAAAAATCTTTAAGCTCAAAGGATGTGGGTTTAAAATGTTTGTCTTGCCTTAGAATCTTACAACTTAATTATTTTATTGTATCGTAGATATCAGTCTTCCAAAATCAGCAGCAATATGTTACACAGCAGCCCTGTTAAAAGCCAGAGCTGTTTCAGAAAGGTAAGCAAGCACATTTGTGAAAATGATGGTTTGCTGCTTATCTTGGGTTATGCTGTAAAATATGAACTAAAAAGGTCTAAGTCCAGTATGTAGCAGTTACATTTCTAAGAGCAAGTTAAGTGTATTTATATATACGTGTATATATATGCGTGTGTGTAGTTAAATGTAATTTAAAGTTTCTTTTAAGCATCCATAAAGTTAATACAGGTGAAGATATTTTTCAAGAGTTCATGTGCACACATGTGCTTTTGTATAAATTTTGTTTTCAGCGTCGTGCTTGTGATGTTTGACAGTTCCTTGTTCTGTGGATTGGGTGCAGGATATTTGTGGTAGTTCATGTTGGCATTTCACTTCCATTCAGCTGATTCTAGCTTTACCTCTGAGTAGGTGATGTTGTAACAATTGTATGAAAGACTGGGAGCTCAATTACCTTATGTGATTGAAGTTTCAAAAAGTTCAACATAACTTTGTCATATGGGCATGGGTGACAGTCGAAGTACCTAAATTATCATGGACATTTGTCTCCTAGAAGGGTTTTATCTTGATAAATCAGTCGATTTTTAATGAACTCCAAACTTACAATGCACATAAACACCTGGTTAGCATTTATTATTTACTTTTGCTCCGCATGGGGTTTCCCTTCAGGTTCTCCCCAGAAACTGCCTCCAAAAGAGGGCTCAGTACAGCAGAAATTAATGCTGTGGAAGCAATTCACAGAGCTGTGGAATTTAACCCTCATGTTCCAAAGGTAAGAGTATTTTATTTCCTATTGGACCACTTCTTACTGTCTTCTGAAAGAAGTTGTGTTATGTTATCATCTTGTTATTTGAGCCTTTCTAGCCTCATGTTTTCTAGAAGGTGGTTATAACTCCAGCCATTGAGTTGTTAAACACACTAGTATTTGTATCATAAATGTTTGGTGGCCAGAATTAGTTAGTTGCAATATGTGATATTTAAACTGTTTTGGTTTGGTTTTTTTTTTACAAAAAATTAAAACTCAAAATTTTCTAACTCATTGGAAAATCCAGTAATGTATTAATGAAGGTCCTTTGCTGGGAAAGGGTAAGCATTAATAAATGTAAATGTAGATATTTAAAATCCCTGAAGCCAAATTAAGTTCTCCAAACAATAACCACTCATAGTGTTTCAAAATACTTTTTCCTGCTGTGCTTCCAAGCATGGCTTCAGAACTCGGGTTATTGAAAGATCTAGTCACTTACTTTCTTCATCCACGTGTAAACAAGATTAAGAGTCAGCATTGCTACAGGCTGTAATTTAATGTCTGGCATTACTTGAAGTGGCCAAGATACGGATTCCACTGAGCACTGGGTGACAATAAAATCTTACGTTGCTTTTTACTGTACTAGTATTGTAATGCATTCGGTTTGAAACCTTGAATGCAGAAGGCTGGCTTAGTGCTGGACCTAATCCTCTGCAAATGATCATGGAGTCCGAATGACTATTGCTGTGAAGGCTCGAATTATCCAGCCGCTCTATTCTGTCTGCCTGTCCAGTCTAATAGAATGTGCACTGAGAAAGCTAATTGCTGGGAGAAATTGCTGCTTGTTTGCATGACTGATCAAGAGCGTAGCAAGTTCATTTCAGACAGTCTCAGACAGATTTTTCTTTAGTCTCTGCCTTTAGGGGAAGAAGATTATAACCCATTATCATTATCTAAAAGTTCTTTTATTTTGTATATCTTTCAGTTGTTTCAGGAGCCTCATGTACCTTTTTAAAGAAGTTAGGTATCATTTCAAACAGGCTGTTTGCGGAATATGTTCCCTAGTTCTACAGACGTTCACGTAAACTGATTCCAGGTTTCAGCAATTTGATCTTCTCTTCTAATTGTATACCTATCCACTCGTCTTCGTGATTTTTTTTTTTTTTTTAATTACAATATTCCCTTGAAACACCTATTTATTAGATGGCAGGGCAGAATTTTATTGGTGCTGGCTATCTAGAGCTCTGAAATGCTCATAGGCAAAGCAAACAAGTAACTTGCCCGGTGCGTTACAGTGGACTAGTGGGAAAGAAAATCTGTGGTTTTGAATTTGCAGTCTGTTCTGTCCCATGGACTAAAAATAAATGAGTATGTAAAGTAGTAATCCCTTTGTTCTTGCATCTGATGAAAGTGGTTGTCTTTGCACATAACATCATTTTGCATAAGGAAAATAAAATAATGTTTGTTTCTCTTTGTTCTGAGTTATGCTTTTACAAGGATGGATTTTGTTTGGAAAGTTAGGTAGGCATTTCGCAGTGCTAGAAAACTGGTACTCTTAAGCCATTTCAAATTAGAGATCTTTAACTACATTTTGGTAATGTATGAAATAATCTTTGCAATCATCTTCTGAATATCTTACAAATTTTTATTGTGTGGAAGACTTTCTTAAATCTGCAAACCCCAAGATATTTTCAGTACTGATACCTTACCCGTCATATGGTTAAACACGGACATGAAAACCTACCAGACTGTGGAATTTTTCTGTTTATGTGGTAATACGGGCACAGAGACAGCCAAAGCGTGGAGTTTGACGTTGGCATGTTGTGGCAATACTTGCAGTGGGGCTTCATCATCACGGCTGTGTGATATTCCCTTGCTCTCTGCGCAGTTAGTACAATGGAAAAGCGGGCACTGCGGAGAGCACGAGGAGTCAGGTCAAGGGTCAGATATTTGAGACCATTTTCCCACAGCAGCCCTGTGTGAGTGATCCTTTACTGTGCTAAAAAAAAAAAAAATTAAAAAAAATTGAAGAGGATTAGAGGGGATTAGCAAGAATATTACCCTCTGGAGTGTAGGCCCAAGGCACTAAGAGAAGAACCTAGCCAGGCAGTAAATGTGCTTTATTTGGCCGGGGCACAACCCCTCCTACATTCCTTCAAGACTCTGAATGGGAAAAGTTAAGTCCTCAAACTGGATTAGTAAATAATCTCATAGTTTGTGGCATCTGCTGAAATAAATCAGCGAGTTAGCTGCATTCTTACACTTTGGGAGACAGTCAAAGGAATTGCCAGCTACATTGATCAAAGATGTGGATTAACTTTGGCTGGTATTGAATGAGACACTATATGCTAGGAGAGAACAACTAACAGGTAAATGCTAGAGCTGAAACTGTCATTTCATTCTTGTAAAAATTACTCATCTGTTTTTAAAAGCTAAGTTCAAATGAATACCTGTCTTTTTTTAGTGTACCATCAGAAAACAAAATTGCGTGTCCTGTGTTTCAAGGGAAATAGAAAACGATTAATCCTTGTGTTCTTTGACCCTTCTGTGCAGCACATACTCTGCTGATGTAGGGAGAAGGCTGAAATTGAAAAAAAATCTGAAGTCAGAGATACTTTGTGGTAGTCCAGCAAAACCACATTAAAACAAGATTTTCCTGGGTTTGGTTTATTAGTCTTCCTTTGGTTAGCATACTGACACTTTCTGGTTTGCTACTCATACTTGAGGGCTAACAAGTACTTAGCCTCCTACATTGGAACTTTCAGGGATTAAATGATGAGCAAAAATACTGTTGGTTTTTTATTAGCCTAAACATGTAGCTCATTGGTATTGTACCTGTGGCATTATACTTCATGTATATTCCACAACAATGTATTTTTATTTTGCCTTATTGAAGGTGTATTATTTTCCCCCTAATATTTTCGTGTTAAAAACCCCCATTGAAGAGTCTTATACGTGGATGTGTGTTTTGCCGCTTTTCGCTTCCCGTGCGAGCGCAGGCTCTATGCGCTGTGTCAGGATTGGGCTCTTTCTTCAACACGTAGAGGTTGGCCCCTGTGTGATGTGCTCTTATGCCTCAAATGATCGTTTATGTTTCACAACTAAAGATTTTGGAATATTCCATGTAACCAAGTGTGCTTCCCATTTTTACTTTCAGTATTTACTAGAAATGAAAAGCTTAGTGCTACCTCCAGAGCATATTCTGAAACGAGGGGACAGTGAGGCGGTAGCGTATGCTTTTTTTCACCTCCAGCACTGGAAGAGGATAGAAGGGGCTCTAAATCTGCTACACTGTACATGGGAAGGCAGTAAGTATCTCTCCTTGTTTTATTTTTTTTCTGTACAGTAGACTAATCTCGCTGCCTTTATTCACCTCAAACACGATTGGTTCCCTTTGTGGGAAGCTGGTTGCTTGGTTTAGATACAGATCTAATGTCACTCCCTCTTTTTTCAGCATTTAGGATGATCCCGTACCCGTTAGAGAAAGGTCATCTTTTCTATCCCTATCCGAGTTGCACAGAAACAGCAGACAGAGAACTGTTGCCAAGTAAGTGGTTTCTAAGCAGTAATGATAATAAAACATAAGCTAAGGACATGTTCAGTTAGTGGTATTCTGTATTTACCTTACTGTGATTTTTTTTTTAGTTTGAGCTTCCCGTGAAGGGGATTCAGCTAGTTGTTGATGTCCCTCCCAAACGATCCTGAAGCACTTGATGTGTGTGTGTGGTAAATGTTAGCTTGATTCTGTAATAACATAAGTCCTTCAGAGATGAAGTCTGTGTGTGGTACGTTTGGACTAAGTTTGGCCAACTTTGAGAACAACAAAATGGACCAGTTCTTTAAATGGCTTCTTCTTTTAAAAGAAGTCATGGATTTGACTACTGTTGTAGAGGAGCTGTTTCCTTTTAGCAAGGAGTAAACGCATGGTTCCGGTCCTGCATTCGGGTATCTAGCAGGACCTGTCTGTGATCCTACAGAGAATCCTTGGTTAATCTATAGCTTCGTAGAATATGTATTGCTTTCTGTCATTAATTCATTGGTACATATTTGTCTGCTGGACAGTATGCTTCCTGGAACTTTTTATCCATGTAGGTATTTTTATGGATTTATACTAACACTTGACACTGAAAAGTAAGTCTTCTCCAACTGCCCGTTACTTAAAGATTACTGTATGCACTTATGAGCCTACGTGGTTTTTTTTCTTTAGGTAAGGCAAACAAACAAAATCATTAGGGCCCATGCTCATCATATTTAGGAAAATAGCATTAATTTAGATTAGAATTGGACTGTTAATTGTACATGTTAATAGAATTCCTTTGGGGGTGAACGTCTACATCATGAAGAAATGCAAGTCCCACGGGACTGGAAAGGGCTACTGCAAAAGCACCAGCAGACCCACTGAGACCACAGCTGTGGAAAGGAAAACTACACATACATGTTTCTGTTTAAAAGCCTGAAGTTACATTTAAAATGTGTAATTTAAATTTGCCCCAAGACTGCTTTAAATTACTCATTTCTCACTTACGCAGGATATTGCACAAGGAATTCCTTGGTTAGCGACTAACCCTAAATTGTAGACTTCCCAGCATAATTAAACACCAACACATGCAGATATTTCAACACGATCACTCACGCATTCCTGTTATGTTTTAAATATAAAACTACCCATAAATAAAATCATCTTAACACTTTTATTGCAGTACTTCCTTGAGAAATCTTGACGCTTAATTTTTTTAAATTTATCTATTTAAAATAACGTTAACCAAATTAATGATTCAAAACTCCTGTATTGGTCTGACTAGTAACAATTCTCCAATTCTCAAATGGCTGTGGATGTATAGAATTATCTTTAGTTGTCCTGATCCATTTTGGATTTGATTTTAATTTCCCCGGGTAGGGAAAAACTAGGGCAAAAAAAATCCTTCCTTTTTTTTTTTTTTACACTTTCCTAACTATGTTGGGACCTTTCCTAAATTATGTTGCTCCATGTTTAAAAATCCATTGAGTTTCTACATAGTATGAGAGCATATCAGTGTTCCACAGTAGACAAGTGGTTTCCTTGGTTGCTCGGTAAAGAGGAGCGTGTTGCTATCGCACTGTACCATGGCCTGCCAGGGCCGGTTGCGTGTTAAGAAGTGAACTGAATCTCTGGGATAACATTAAACACCTCTGATGGACATTAGACATGGAACTCCAAATGTTCTACTTAGTTGTGCTCCAAAATCGTATACTTAAAAGTAAAACAAAACCCGAGCACTTTGCCATTAATGAGTTGCAACAGCACAAGCCATTTTTGCTGGGCTTGCTCTTATAATGGTAGCTTTCATGTGCCAGCATTCAGAAACAGTAACTGGGAGGGTAAAGTGTCTTTTTCCTCCTCAGACTTCGGTTTAAAAATGAATACAATTGTATTTTCTTGTTTTACGAGAAGTCTTACTTAAATTGCGAGGCTTTTTGTTAGATTTTAAAAATGGCCTGTCAAGAAGTGTGCAGCCCTTTCATAATTACTTATGTCTATAGAAACTATTTTTTTCTTCATTTAAAACCCCTTTAAAATCATTGGATAAAAGTCAGAGCTGCAGGTATTCAGAGCCAGTAAGTAATTGCAAATTCACCAAGCAGGTCCTCGGCTAGTAACCAGTAGTAGTGTCTTGAGTGCTGAAAGCTCCATATGCCAGCCCTTCGCCTGTCTAATCACCTTCTTTTGATTTTGTTACCATAGATTGGAAATTGCAAGGAGCTGCTATGTACAGAATTTATAACCTAGTCCTGATACTGTTTTCTTTGAGGTCTACTCTGTCAGCTGCTCTGAAAAAATTTACTGTAGCCTACCAACCAGGAATCTTTGAAAAGTATTAAGGAGCTACCTTGCATGTATATATATACCATGATGGTTGTTTTGTACTTCCTGAGCCGCTTATAGGATGGGGAGATGTGCTGTTCTCTTCAGGTAACAGGATTAATGCTTCAGAGGGTTGGAAACACCTGAATTGTTTAAATTGGCCTAGGTAATTTTGACAGCTTGTGAATTTTACGGTTCTTCCCTCTGTCCTGTTACCAGAGTAGGTACCAAAAACTAAGCCTGATGAAATGCTTCAAAAATAAAGCCCATGCAAGTGAAAAAGAAGATTGGGAAGAGAAAGGTGTAATGACTATCAATAATGAAGACGAGCATTTAATGTAGGGGAAAAATTTATGAGAAGCTTAAGTGCTGGGACCTAATGTGCTGCACAATAGCCTTAAGTCCACACTTACTCCTTCTGAAAGTCTAGAACTGAGTTACAGGACTGTGTAAATAATTCAGAAAACTGTCCTTGATTATCAGATGTCAATGTTCTTCATTTTTTCCTTTCAGCATTTCACGAAGTCTCCGTTTACCCACAGAAGGAACTTCCCTTTTTCATCCATTTCACAGCCGGCCTATGTTCCTTTTCAGCAATGCTTGCCCTCCTCACACACCAGTTCCCTGAGCTGATGGTCATTTTTGCTAAAGCTGTAAGTATTGTCTCTGTTACGGGGCTTACTGAGGTAACTTGTGGGATCTTTGGGAGTTTTGAGGTCCATGGTGAAGTAGGCTCTGGTCAGTCTCATGCTTGTGTGGGGCATGAATGATCTTACTTCCTTTTGTAAGAATCTAGTTAGTGACAAACACTTGTTGGACTGGATGATCTTAAAGGTCTTTTCCAACCTAAACGATTCTATGAAATTTGGGCAAAACGTCTATTTTGACCAGAAGGTGAACTGTTACTATAACATACCATGGCTTTAATTTGCACTCTTATGGTGAGAGAGTAGCATTGCAGCACCAGAGAGATTTTGCCACAGAGTACTGTGAGTGTGGACTTTATTCTCATAGAAGTGGAAGACTGCGGTGTGAGAGCCTCAAAAAACAGATTTGTTGACTGGAAATTTTGAGAAGTGACTAAAAGGCAGGCTGGACTGCAGGAAAAACAGGTCTCTTGCTGAGCACTGGAAACTAGTAGCATGATGTGGATGGAATGGACGAGAACAGAGATGAAGTAACTGTTAACTTCCAAGCCAGGTTCAGAAGTTAGTTAGCTGTCACTTACCTTTCGGGACCTAGACCAATGGTTTTATATCTCATCTGGTTCCAGTTACTAGGTGGAGAACGTGTTCAGTGAGCACAGTTCTGTCATTTGAGTACCTGTTCAAGGACAGAAAATGGACTTGACAGTGGCAAAGAGGCTTTCAGCTAGATACATTTCTAATCTGTGCTACTTTAAAACTGTCTAAATATGTCTGCTCTTGAGCCATTTGTTCTTATGGGTGCTTGCTGTGCCCATCTCCTTTCTCCTTCTCTCTGCCCTGCTTTTTCTAGGGTTTCTTTTCCTTGCTTATCTGTTGATATTGCTGCTGGCTGTAACCTTGTCATCTTTCCCTGGATGCCGAAAGCTGTGCTGTCTTACTTCGACAGAGGGAGAAACTGCATAGGCAGCTTCCCCTCCCTGCTTCTCAAACTGAAACCATGCAGTATATTTGGCCTTTATTGAACTGTGGATCTCATGCAGTAGAGCAGAGTGGCAAATAAAGAGCTCTGAACTCTCAATGAATCATTTATTCTAGCTTTGCTAGTCAAAATAGAGGGTGAGAGGCATTATGCTTTCTTGCTGTTTTAAGGCAGCAGGTAATGGAGACCTGGGAGGTGAGCCTTTTTTCTTAAGAATACTTTGTTCCTAAAAGCGTTGGCTTTGCTAGCGATTCTAGTCTACAGCGTCCAAGTCATGCGGGTCTGAGAGTGGGGCCTCATTTCTACACAGCTCTGTTGATCTTTATGTTGGAAAATGTAGTTGGACATGCCAGTGACAAATTTCAGTGCTGCTCATAATTGGCTGGGTTCATAGTAACTAGGTCTAACTATCTGCTTGGTTAATTCTGTAAGGACTGCATTAGCAAAGTTGTATGATTTCCAAAGAGATACAAGGTCAAATGTTATGCTAACAAAGAATTGCTTGGTGAAGTTCTCTCTGCTGGGTTTCTTGAACCAAAAAAAAGATTTTCTATGAGTTAGTTGGCTTTGTATAATGGCATTTTGAATGTCAAGTGACGTGTCCAAATGCGGGGAAAAAACTCCCAGGGTTTGTTCATTTGGCAGTGTGTTTATTTTGCTTATTTTCTATAGGAAAGGACAGATAGCGTCTATTCGGCTGAAAAGATGATCAAGAAGCCTGCATATTGCCACGTCACGCCACTAACCAAGTCACAGTGGTGGCAGGCACAGACAAAGGGGTTCTTGCCACTCACTGTGCTAGCTTAATACTGGCAAAAGTGGAAACTGTGTATTGAGATAAACAGACAAGAAGTGAATTCTGTATTAATCTCTTGAGATTGACAGCTGAGAGGGAAGTACCAGCCTCCAGTATGCTGCTATTTTAGGTAGAATTAATGTTAACTCCCAATCGTACTGTAATGACTAATATTCTTCCTTATTTTAATTATTAGATTATTGTACTCTTGATCCCATTCCTGATGTTTTCAGAAGCATTCAGAAAACTTGTAAGAAATAATGATACTCAATATCAAACTAACACTTCTGATTTTATTCATAGATTACTTCAGTATTTTAACTATAGGTAATGTTGTGATGGCTGCTAACACTTTATAAAGCATTATCTCGTGTGTGTGGTATGTGGCACTAGCATCTAGTTGAATTTTCATACTGAAAATGGAAATTTACCTTCTCTTTAATGATACCTGCCTTTCCACCCAAGAATGCTGTAATAAACCAATTATTATTTGCTGTATCTAGTGTTATATCTGCAAGTAAGTCCAGTGCTTTAAGCTTTCTAAATGAAATTTTTTTCCTGTGTATTTAATTATTTCAGGTATTTTTTTGTGATTTAACTTATTAAATACAGTAATTTGAGATAATAAAGTTCTAGATGGTAGATACCTGGAGTGCTTTGGCCTTAGTAAAAAAGCCATACAAAACATATTTCCAACAAATCCAGAACACGGTTTTAAGAATGACAGTTGGAAAGTATCGTGTATATGGAATTTTTCACTATAAATCTCTAAGTGACTTAAATATGACTACTTAGATTACATTTCAGTTGCTTCTTAGTCAAACTCTTGTTTCCAGCAATTGAATCTACAGTGAGCCGCATGCCTCTAAAGGGTTTTAAGAAGTTGAATACCTTTCTATTGACTTGAAAAGTCAGAGTTTACATATTTTCATTTGTTAGTGCTTGAGTTTGTTTCCTCCATAATAAATCACAGGGTAAACCTTGGAAAATTGCTAAAAATATTCCAAGTGGCCAAAAATCACAACGAAGCATTTACGAGTTCCAATGTATACAGTGTGATACACCATCAGCAGAGAGCTGAGCCCTGGCACCGGCTGCGAGCCCGCTGCCTCTGGAACGGGAGGCAGTCCCGCGCCGCGCGCCCCGGCCCTGCGGCCAGGCGCCAGAGGGATTTCGGTGCCTTGCGCACGTGGAAGGGTTTGCAGGCACCAGGGACTGGTGCTGGCAGAAGTGCTTAGCATTTACGGATCCACTTAGAGCCAGCTGCGGCTCATTACTTCTCTTGAACTCGGACTTTTAATACACTTTGACTAAGGAAAGATGTACCGTGTGAGTTGGTGCAGGTGAGGACTGGAATAGGCGGTGGTAGGGAGCTCCGTATGACCTGCAGTATGAGTGCGAGTGCTCTCAGCGGGTAAGAGCTCAGCCGTGCTGTTGGTTCAGCTAGATTTCTGATCTCTTGGAGAATCACTCTGTTCTTGATCATCAGACACCTCTGTTTCTGAAGTAGTTGCCGTTCAGAATTTTCTCAGTAAGCGACAGAAGGGAGGAGGTGCGCAAAAGGGATGACAATAATCTAGACAGTTCATTGAGCAAGCTGAAAAATAGTTACATAAAACAACTTCTGTTGAAACTGCAGACAAAAGGGTCTGATTATTTTTCCATTCAGTACGAACTTTTATTTTTTAGTAATTGCAGAGGTGGAGAACTGGGTAGCTATGTATCATCTTGCAAAAGTGATGTTGCACAATTCCTTCTGTAATATAAAGTCACAGAGAAGTCCGCCTTCAAGAAAACTAGAGATGCAGAGTAACAGCAGGCACTGTAAAGAGTCTTCTCAGAAGTTCCTGAAAACAACTGACATGCTTACCTTCCAAGCAAATAAATCCCATTTTTTAAGTCCAAACCTTATGCTACTGGAATAGACGAGTATTAGTTTAATATTAAAGTATTGAAAAAATATTGCAGCAGTATTCCTGATGAAAACAACTTCCTTGTTCAGGGAATTGGACAAAATCCTAAGACAGTCCATGTTCCAGAGTGTTTTGATAGGGATTGCTTGATATTTTCAAAACAAAGAAAGAAGTGAGGACTTAAATTAAAAATTGGCTAATTTTTATTATTGCAAGATTAGGAGAAAACACATCTCATCCTGGTTGTTCCGTAGCTCCCCGTTAGAGGATTCCTTGCCATCTTGCTGATAGCAGCCATCTAGAGACAGAAAATAGCACTAAACAGAGCCCTGTCTGGCAATTCCTGCTTTCTGTGACACTCTGCTTTACTTTCTGAACAAATCCCCCTACCACTTTCCCCAAAGCTCATTAAGTGAGACTGGAGAATTAACTTTTTAGCCAGCTGCTGAACTTTTCATATTTATAAACACTTGAGTCTTTTGCTTATCTAAGAGAAAATGTGTATAGTTTGGAGATGTGCACTTCCCTGCCAATGTGTAATGAGTGGTTCTACACTTCATAGAAAAAAAGCCTGGAGTTTCCTGTCACAGCTGAGTGTCGATGCCAAGGGCAAAGGTTTCTTGCCTTGCTAATCTACATCTTAACTCATGCACTTAATGTGAAGGTGCCACACGCAAACAGGCAGGGAAGAAGCTAGCTGCAGTGAAAAGCTCCTGCGCTGCTGTGAATGTTAGGTTTTAAAAGCCTTTTTAATGTAATATTTGAGGTTATGATATAAGCCAGGAGGGCCGAAGTAAAACCCTCAAAGTAAATGAGTCCTGTCATTGCTGCCTCATGAAAAGAGGTTTGTACGAGGATAACACGAGTCCCAGTGGAATACTTGGGGGATGGGTTGAGAAGGTGCAGGGGAGTTTGCGCCATTTGTTTTAGCCTAATCTTTATTTCTGGAACTGTTTAGATGGCATCTAGAATATGGATCCTGTCTGGAAGCACGGGCCGGTCTTGGCAGATTGTCTGTTCAGTTTTCACACGTTTGAGTCGACAAAATATGCTACCCTCCTCCCCAGTCTGCTCAATACTGAAGGTGCAGTGCTCGGAGCAGCTGGAAGAGTTGTAGCACAGAGAAACGCCGTCCTAACCCATCGTGCTTCTGCCTAGGTGCTGCGGGTGCTGTGGCCTGTGAGTGCTCCCAGCGTTCTGGCCTCCAGCTGAGCGGACCGTGCCGGGGACGCAGGGGGTGAGTGGGCAGGGCTGGAGCTGTGGCTTCCTAGGGAGCTTTTTCTTTTGTGTGACTTGGCTAATATTTGATGATTACTACAAGCCTATTCCATGGCGTCAGCGTTGAGGGGATCATAGCTCTGTTGCCTTGAGAGAAAGATACAGGGTGGTTTTTTTTGTTCATACGTTGAGCCTGTAGAAGGATGTTGGTTTTGAAATTGGGCTAATTTTTTGTTGTTCTTGTGTTCTGTTTCTTCCAGTGCTTTGGGAATCTTCTTTCACCCTTCAGCTTCATTATGGAAAACATTGAGGTCCTCCTGCTGTCCACTCTCTGGCATCAGCCAACTCCAGTGTGACTGGAGTGTGCTTTCCACAATGGTTCGATTTTGTTGTTCTCACGAGCCTCACCCCCAGTGGTTTGCTGACCCCTAGACATGGGGGGCAAGGAAGAAAGCTGTGCTATTCAAACCGGTGTCTTTGACAGGCTTCCATATGGGTAATGGTGCTTAACATATGAATTTCTTCTTTGGCCTTAGTCTGTAATCATCTAAGAAAATACTTTTTGTTGAGCAATACCTTATTGCTCTCTTAAGCACTTGTACAACTGGAAGCTAGTACTTCCTCTGTAAGACAGGAGAGGACACAAACTGAGCAGATGTTTGGAGTATTGACACTTCCTTCTCAGCTGCAGATGCACCAGATAGTTGGCTTAGATCTAATTTTATAAGCCTTTTTCAAAATATTTGTTAACAGCAAAGTATGGTTCTGCTTTCTTTATTAAAAGATTGCTTCTTAACACATTGAATTTGTTGACTTCTTAAGCGTCTGTTTAATACAGATTATAGTGTGCAAACAAACATTTGTTTCTTCTGTATCCTGTAAGCTTGCATTATGCAAGGAAATTGTATATAAACTCCTCTATTTCATACTGTTACTTTAGATTTAATTGTGCATCTTTTGTCTTTCAAACTGCTTTGCCTTGAAGAACAGGATGGTTTCTGAAACTGCCAAAAGTGGTTGTGATATCTGCATGAGAGTCTTCTGGGGAGACCTGAACTTTCAAGTGTTAGTCCAAAGTACTGTCATTGTTGATATCAAGATTTGAAAAGAACTGAGATGTGGAGCACTCTTCAAAGGAACTGCCTCATATATGGACCAGCCGCAAGGGTTTGTTTACTGCAAAGGTGAAAAGATGGCTGTGGCAGCCAAGTGGTTTGAGGTAATTGGTGTGACCTCCATTTCCACTCTCCCCCATTGGGGAAGATGTCTACTTTTGCACATTCGGGTCTGCTGCTTGGTATTGAGGAAGCAGAGTCATGTTAGCCAAGGCTTCTTAAAAGTGGAAATGATAAAAATAGCACAGGCTTGGGGATAAATGCTAATTCTAATGCTAAAAGTTGTCCATCATCTTACATTTTACAGATAAACACATACACTTACCCATAATAACTAGGGAGATTTTACATGTTTAATCTTCACTGATCTTTGTGAAGGATTGATGTAAGCCGTGATGTCGATGGCTTCTTTCAAAGGTGTTGTAAAGCATTCTAGTGTCTGAATCTGGGATGGAAGAAGCTTGCTGTAGTCTATTCTCTGAAATAATACCTAAATCAATCAATTACAGGTCAATTGGAATTGATTTATAATCTATCTTGATGCAGAAGACTGGTGTTTCCCCACCCCGCCCACCCAAATCCTTCTGTACCTTGTAAACAAAGTACTACGAAGCAAACAGTCACCCATGCATCTCGTATCGTGTAGCTTATTTGTAACTCTGGCGGGGAGGAAGCACACGTGTTTAGGTAGAAATGCCATTGTTACTCTCCACTGTATATTTCTATGGACTGGGCTTTAATCCAAGTTAAATACTTGAATTCATTGAGGAGTCAAGAGGGGAGCCCTACAGAAAGGTACTACCAAATTTTTTTGAGTTGCCTAACTACTAGTAGGTAATTTTCTCAACTTTCTTTCCAGTTGAATGTATGCCATTGGGGCTGTTTCTCACTGTGGAATCATTGTGGTGATTAATAGCTATGTTGTGTTCATGTAATTTCACTTCTTGGTCCGCAGGGGCCCATAAGGTAACCAACCTAATGCTTTTTAAAGTTGAACATTTTCCAGCGTTTGTGTGGGGTTATAAATGAAGCACTGCCTCCCATGTATCATCCCAAGAGCTGCTTTCTTTCACTGTCCTCCCCTGACATAACAGTAACAGAAAGGGGATGGGCTTATGCTGAAAGTATAGCTGGCAGCAGGCTATGTAATGAAAATCTTCCTGTCTCTCCAGAAGTGCCAGTAATTCCTGAGGAAGGAGGAACTCTGCATGATTTCCTAGCAGGGTTGTTTGTGCTTTGTAGGAACGTTCATTTGCCACTTAAGAGCAGGAGCTTACCACCTGATCCATACCATAGGAATACTGTATCAGGCCACATGCAATTAAGTTGCATGCGTGTGTGTGTATATTTATATAAAAAATGGCAACTATGACTCGGGACAGATAAGCATCGGTTGTTGCCATTTCCCTGAAACATGCACTAGGGTGACGTTGTAGCCACTGGGATGGCAAAAGCCTTTCCATGAGGCTGTATGTGATGTTGGGAGACTTCTCAGATTCTCATTTCATTCAGAGTAGCCAGTGAAAGTCAAGGAACTTGATAATCAGCATTTATTTATATACCTGATGCTAATATGTATATCTGTGAAACAGGGTAATTACAGTCTCTTTGATGCATTTCAGCAGAATTTTACTTTGGGGCGGTCTTGGTTTGTTGGGGGTTTTTGTTGCTTGCAGTGTCTCACCATGTCACAACAGATTAGTTTTTGGTCAGAATGTCCAGGAAGAGGAATGCTGCATTTCTTCCTGCCAACCTCTTTCTTTTCCAGAAGTAATCTCCAAAAAGGACAGGAAGGGAAGGGAAGAGGGAAGCATTACCACAGATAGTAAAGCTGTTGTTCCTGAGGCAGTTAGGCAGCTAAATTCTTGTGTGAGTTTGCCTTGTCTTACCACTGCTTTTAATGAAGAGTGTCTAAAGATCTGTGTGGATCAGGACTTCTGTTGCATATGCAACTGGAGAGAACACACAAGCATGGTTTGTTATCTTGTTACTGAAACCACTTTCTAATGTTGGCTGACTTTAAATGAAGTATTTGGAAGCTAATACCCAAATGCTATTGGCTATTTGATGCCATTTAGAGACGCTAATCCTTTGAGCCTGACAAACGTCCATCAGGTGTACTATTCCTATATACTTTATAGGAACATTAGATTATATTCTTTATACTCGACTTTATCCGAGGAATTCATCAGCTTGGAAGAGTGACCACCAGGCCTTCGGTCTGTAAGCGGCCGCTCTGTACGAGTGGGAGCGTTTCGGTCGGGCGTAAGCGGCACCGTGGGCGCTACCAGAGGTCCGCGGTGGCC